AAGGAGCCAGTTTCCTCCTCATCACTTATATCATCATCATCCCCTTCATAAGGGCTCACATCCGGTTCTGTTTCTGGTCGATAGGTCGAGTCCTCATAGGACCAGTAGCTCTCGTTCTCGGTGCTTACATGACCGTCGCTCACGGTCTGTGATCGGCCTCCACGGCCAGCTCCTCTAGACGCCCTAGAGGTCCTTCGACTGCCCTGTCCAGTCTCCGGTGGTACACGGCCAGTTGGGTTCCTCCTAGTAACCTTGCCACCACGGTCCATTTCTGAAAGAAATTTGGGAAGAGTCGTTAGACTCGTATCAAATGTCAATTGACAGATGGGTACTTAAGACACTATTTGGCTCAAATTGCTGCCATACCAATTGCTAAGGGTACCATCTTAACAATTAGAGACCTTGCAACTCAAGTACCAAAAGCTCTACAAGTACAAAATGTTTATGCTCATGGTTTTCAAAATCATTTTGAAAAGAGGATTCTGAGACTTCATTATGAAGTTTATGGACTAAGGCTCTGATACCAACTTAATTGTCACGCCCCGGACCTACCCGGACACGTCAACAACCCGCCGTACAATACGAATAGTCAACCGCAGTCCAACACATTCATATTATACAAGGCGTCTTGAATATCATTCACACATATAACATCCATAAACAAACATAATAAGTAATTCATAACGCAGCGGAAAACATTGTTTAAAACAAAAGAGCCACACAGAGCTATTCATGAGCACGCAGGCTCTATAGTAAAATATCCATGAGCAAATTTATTAATGTTTCAAATAGAATGGAGGAAGCACGAACCAAGTCTTCTCTCCGAGGGATCACTCGATCAACGAGCACAAGATGCAAGCTCTAGCCTCAACCTGAAATGGTGGTGGGACGCCCCCGAAGGGGTCAGTACTCTATACGGCTATAAAGTACTGGTGTGGCAGACATCTAATAGATATACAACAAGTATTTCAAACACAAGACCCTCAAATAGGGTGATAGTACATTATGATTTGTAACCCTAAGTTACCCCGTTTGAAAATATACTTACCTTATGTAAAAGTCAAGTAGTCGGCCCGTGGGCCCATGTCCATTTAGAAATCACCATTCCCATTCCCCGTGGCCATAAGCCACGACAACTCATAGAGTCCAACCCTAACACATGACATTGTATTCTAGAGCTCGGCTCTACCACATCACCATACAATTCATGTCACTCGGGTCAATGTCCTTACCTTGCGTTCTAGAGCTCGGCTCTATCACATCACCACGCAAGCCCTAGAGCTCGGCTCTAGCTATTCAATACATAGACTACAAGTCTACCACCTTACCATGCATCCTAGAGCTTCGGCGTTTCCTCCTCTCCTCGCGCTCTCGGTGGTATTGCTGGAGCAACGCCTCAATTCTCGCCAAGGAGCCATCTTGCTCCTCGTCACTAACATCATCATCATCCCCTTCATAAGGGGTCTCCACCGGCTCGGTTTCCGGCCTATAGGTTGAGTCCTCATAGGACCAATAAGTCTCACTCTCCGTGTCAACGTGACCGTCGCTCACGGTTTGTTGTTGGCCTCCACGGCCCCTTCCCCTTGACACCCTAGTGGACCCCCGGCTGCCGCGCTCGGATCCACCCGGTACACGGCCCGTTGGGTTCCTCCTAGTGATTCTCCCAATTGGCTCCATTTCTGAAAGAAGTTTAGAATGAGCCATTAGACTCGCATCAAATGTTAAGTGACGGATAGGTACTTAAAGACATCTTTTGGCTCAAATCACCGCCATACCAATTGTTAAGGGTACCATCTTAACAATTAGAGACCTTGCAACTCTAGTACCAAAAGTTCCATAAGTACAAAACTTTATGCTCATGGTTTGCAAAAATCATTTTCAAAGAGTTTTGAAGCTTCATTATGAAGTTTACGGACTAAGGCTCTGATACCAACTTAATTGTCACGCCCCGGACCTACCGGACACGTCAACAACCCGCCGTACAGTACGGATAGTCAACCGCAGTCCAACTCATCCATACTATACTAGGCGTCTTGAATACCATTCACACATAGTACATCCATAAACAAACATAATGTAAAATATTCGTTTAAAGCAGCGGAAACATTAATAAAGTGTTTATGCCACACTTTGGCAAACATGGGCATACAAGCCCCCAAATAATTATTCAAAAATAATATCCATGAGCATCAATTTAAATATTTTTTAAAAATGGAACGGAGGAAGCACGAACCACGTCTTCCTTCCTTGATCGTCCCGAAGCAACGGGCACTGGTAGCAAGCTCAACTCCTACCTGAAACTGTGAGGTGGCCTCCCCCGTGAAGGGGAGGTCAGTACTTGGAAGCATTTGACAAGTACAATGACAACTATACTAAGTATAATCAACGTTTTAACTTCTAAGACCCTCAAAATAGAGTGATATCATAATATAATGATAGTTCTTCTTTAACCCTTATTATCATCATAATAAGTTAATTAATTAATTTGTCGGCACGCGGCCCCTTTTCATATTTCATTTCAATCATCGTTTACACGACACCGCCCGTAGGTCTTATCATCCTTACGAGATTTGTCACCGCTCTCCGAGGCCTCACCGGGCTCTCGGGCCGGAGTCCAACATCCCGCCCCTGAACTCATACCCATCGTCCCGTAGGAAGGTAAGGTCCATTCGGGGTCCTATCTTATGTGTTACCGCTGTCGGGAGCCTCGTAAGGTCTCCGGTTCGGATTCCACCCTAACCCGTGATCACGATGTAAGTCCATGCTATCCAACCCCGCTCTCTAGAGTCGGGAAGGGCCATGGTCCTTACTAATTACCAATACTCTATCGGCTAATCCTTAAAGACTACCGAATACACCCGTAGGCCAATCCTATTCCTAGGATCAATTTATTATTCACTTTATCTTGGGTATCCTTTAAGGCCTACCCCTAGCATCACTTATCCACCTTAGTATCTCTTATGTAAAATCACAGGCCGTATGAGCAGAATTTCCTGTCTTCCATTACAAAACAAGGTTTTTCATATATACACTTTACAGCCGTAGACTAAAAAGGAAAGAAAATAATGTTTCTCCTATTATGATAAACACCCATAACTATCGAAGGCTCTAGAGTCTAGACTAAGAAAATAAATTAAATACAATAATTACAAATGGAAAGTAAATATTGTTACTACACTATACGGCTGGAACAATCATAAATGGAAACAAGTGATTTGAACAAAAATTCCGGTAGCCCGCTTAACACCCCCCCTCAAGTTGGAGCGGAGGGATCTAAAACGCCCAACTTGTGCATTAGAAACCGGAACTGTTGACCCCCTAGCGGTTTGGTGAAAATGTCAGCCAGTTGTTGAGAAGAAGAGACATGGCAAGTGTGCAATGTGCCATTTTGAATAAGATCCCGAATGAAATGACAATCAATCTCTATATGTTTGGTGCGCTCATGAAAAACTGGATTTGAAGCAATATGAAGTGCCGCTTTATTGTCACAGTGAACAGTCATAGGGGACGAAAATGAACACCCAAGAGAAGAAAGTAAACTACGTAGCCAAAGAAGTTCACAACCTAAGGTTGCCATAGAGCGATATTCAGCTTCAGCTGAAGAACGGGAGACAGTCGGTTGCTTCTTTGTCTTCCAAGAGATGGGTGAGTTGCCAAGCATAACTAGATAGCCAGTTAAAGAACGCCTAGTAAGTGGACAAGCAGCCCAGTCTGAATCACAAAAGCCTTGCAAAGAAAGATCCGAATCAGCCCGGAGAAGAATACCCTGGCCCGGACTACCTTTGAGATACCGAAGTACACGAATAGCTGCATCCCAATGATCTTGGCGTGGATGTTGCATGAACTGAGCTAGAACATGCACGGAGTAACTCAATTCAGGACGGGTCAAGGTCAAATAGATAAGTTTCCCAATTAAGCGCCGGTAGGAATCAGGCGTAGAGAGAAAAGAACTTTCGGACAAAGCGAGTTTTTGATTTTGCTCCATAGGAAAAGGAGAAGGTTTAGCCCCAGAAAGACCAAGCTCATCAAGAATATCAAGGGTATACTTCCGTTGACACAAGAAAATTCCTGTGGGGTTACGAGCTACTTCAATACCCAAAAAATATTTAAGTCATCCAAGATCTTTAATTGGAAAACATTTTGCCAAGTAAGCCTTTAACTGGCCAATAGCATGAGAATTAGAACCAGCAATAAGTAAATCATCAACGTAGACAAGCACACATAAATAATCATTGTCCCGGTGCATGGTAAATAGTGAATAATCTGCATATGATCGTTGAAAACCATAAGATAGTAGAGAACCACTAAGTTTAGCAAACCAACATCGTGGGGCTTGGCGTAAACCATAAAGAGAACGACGGAGACGGCATACTAAGTGAGGCTTCGGGCAAGTGAACCCCGGCGGTGGATACATATACACTTCCTCGTCAAGAGAACCATGAAGGAATGCATTATCAACGTCCATTTGATGGAGTTCCCAGTGTTTAGAAGCGGCAACGGCAAGGAGGGTACGAACAGTAGTCATCTTAGCCACAGGAGCAAATGTTTCATTATAATCAATTCCCTCAATTTGCCTATTACCACAAATGACCAAGCGAGCCTTAAAGCGTTCAACGGATCCCGAACTATTATATTTTATTTTGTAAACCCACTTACAATGGATAGGCTTTTTATGAGCAGGGCGTTCAACTAAAGACCACGTACCATTACGTTCAAGTGCTTCAATTTCAAGACGCATGGCTTCACACCAACGAGGATCACGGACAGCTTCGCGGTACGTGGAGGGCTCCTTTTCAACAGAAATTGCTGCAAGGAAAGCTCGATGGTGCACAGAAAAATTGTTATAATTAACATAACAAGTAAGGGGATAAAAGCTACCTGAAGAAACTGACGAAGGAGTGACAACCGGGGGGTCTAAGCGAGTGGCAAAAGTTTGGACATAATCGTGAAGACGGACAGAAGGAGTGCGTTTGCGGTGACCCCGTCCGGGTGGGGAAATAGTGGGCTGCTGCGGAGATGTAGGCGATGCGGTGTCTGAGGAGTTGTCGTGCTGGCAGTCAACTCGTGGTGTGGATTCCAAGTGGTTGTCTTCAGATGAAGCCACTTCAAGTGAAGCATCTGGTGGTGCATCGTGGGTGTCAGTACGTGAGGTACCATGGGCATTCTCTAAAACCTGCATGTCATGCATGGGACTCCCATACATATCCCCATCATCATCATCCAAAAGTGAATGGTCTAATGCAATTGTCTGTTGCGAAGACGTAGGGGGTACATTAAATTTATCGTCTTCTGAGCCTGGCAATGCAAAAGGAAAAATGGTCTCCACAAATTGAACATCCCGGGACACAAAATGCTTTTTGGTTTCTAAATCCATCACTTTCCATCCCCGTTGGGTATAAGAATAGCCCAAAAATACACACTTCCGACCACGCTCTTGAAATTTATCGGTACTCTTGATAGCAACATAACACAAACATCCAAATATACGTATATGAGCATAGGAGGGAGTCACATCATATAGCATCTCATACGGTGTCTTACCGTCATTGAGTAAGGATGGTGTCCGATTAATCAAATAAGATGCGGTTAAAATACAATCACCCCAAAAAGATATGGGCAAGTTGGCCTGAAATCGCAAAGCACGGGCCACATTTAAGATGTGTCTGTGTTTTCTTTCAACTCGTCCATTTTGCTGAGGTGTCCCAACACATGACGTTTGGAATAAAACACCTTCCTTTTGAAAATATGAACGTAAGGGATGAAATTCGGTTCCATTATCTGCCCGCACAACTTTAATTCGAGTATTGAACTGATTCCGCACCATAGAAACAAAACGTTGCATAATTAATGCAACTTCAGATTTTTCAATCATGAGATGCACCCATACCGCCCGTGAATAATCATCCACAATGGTTAAGAAATAGCGCGATCCACAAATACTCGGTTCCCGATAAGGTCCCCAAACATCACAATGTATCAACTCGAATTTATTTAAAGCACGATTAACACTGACAGGGAAGCATTCACGTGTTTGTTTTGCTCTCATGCAAACATCACAATTTTTATTAAAACAATTATTGGTAGCACATTTCTTGAAAGAAATCGGGAGCAAGCGAACCACTCTAGAGGAAGGGTGCCCCATACGTTGATGCCATAAATCACCTTCATCGAGACTTACTACATGAGAACTCTGTATTCGCCCAATACCACTCAAATAATAGACCCCGCCTCGTCGTTCACCCGCTCCAATCAGCGTCTTCAAAGTGAGTTCCTGTATCACACAATACTTATTAGTAAATATAACAAAGCAAGATAATTCATCAATCAAACGTCCCACCGAGATTAAATTACACATGAGTTTAGGCACATATAAAACATTATGCAAAATTATTCCTGGTCCTAATTTCACCCATCCGGAGTGTGTAGCTTCAGTCACTTCCCCATTTGGTAAAGTGACGGGTGAAGTTGCAATTGTCCGCAATCCAGATAATAAGACTTTAGTTCCAGTCATATGATAAGATGCCCCTGTGTCAAGCATCCATGGCCTGTTAAAATTCGTACTTGACATCTTGTCAACTCCATGCCTGGTGCTATTTATAAACGTAATGAAAGAAGCCCACTGCTCATTTGTCAAGGTAGGCAGGTCACTCTTGCTTGGTCTTCCACTGTCCGCATCATGAGTTTCATGCATAACAGCGTTAGCATGTGCCGCCTTCAAGTTCAAACACCGGAATTCACCCAGTCCAGAAAAGTTCTCTGGAGTCGTCATAGTGAGATCAATATTTCCGTCGGGAGCCGAGATGGCTCTGATACCATGTTAAGATCCGGGGTTCCATCCTAAAAGGTCAACCTGTTAGGAGGAGTAGCCCGAAGCTTAATATAGCACTCTAGTGCTTCTCAATTTTCCGGTGTGGGACATTTAACATGTTAAGATCCGGGGTTCCATCCTAAAAGGTCAACCTGTTAGGAGGAGTAGCCCGAAGCTTAATATAGCACTCTAGTGCTTCTCAATTTTCCGGTGTGGGACATTTAACACCCCTCCTCACGACCAGACACTTCGTCTTGATCGTGTCGTCATTCATTTTTCATCGGTTCGTCAATTTTTTTTTATCGTGTCGTCATTTTTCATAAGGGGCCCCACACCATGGATCGATTTGGCTCTGATACCATGTAAAATCACAGGCCGTATGAGCAGAATTTCCTGTCTTCCATTACAAAACAAGGTTTTTCATATATACACTTTACAGCCGTAGACTAAAAAGGAAAGAAAATAATGTTTCTCCTATTATGATAAACACCCATAACTATCGAAGGCTCTAGAGTCTAGACTAAGAAAATAAATTAAATACAATAATTACAAATGGAAAGTAAATATTGTTACTACACTATACGGCTGGAACAATCATAAATGGAAACAAATGATTTGAACAAAAATTCCGGTAGCCCGCTTAACATCTTAAGACTACTTAAGGCTCAACAATTTACAATCCAAACCTTGGATCAATTCTAACATATTTCATTCCAAAACCCCGACTAGTATCATAATACTAGTCGGATAAATTCCAACAAAACTCATTTTCAATTCATAGTCATATAGACAATTTCCAAACTAATTTTCCATTGAAAATATAGTTCATATCAATATACAAAATATAACCTTTAATCACTCATATATCCTTATATGAAGTTAAAGTTATATTTCAACACAATATTTATAATTAATCCCTTCATCAAGCCAATATGCTCATATTACATAATCATGCACAATTTATTCTTAAATTTGTATATTATGCTCCTTTATTCATTGACAACAACATTTTCATTTAGGCATTATTAATCATTAATAATCCATGAAAATCACATTTAATTACTTTAGGTAATCCTACGAAATTAACCCAAAGATTATAAGCAACATAGTCAGCCATCCTCACCTTATGAAGTGCTGAAATAGTTGCCTTTGTTAAGCCCTCCGATCAACCCCCGTTCTCAACCGATCGAAAGTGAAATTCTGGGCAGAAGGTGAAAGCTGGGCGGCTTTCACGAAAGCTGGGCGGCTTTCGTGGTCTGCAACTCCGAACAGCCTCCTACACTTGGCGGTTTCCGGCGGTTTCAACTCCTATCGATTCCACGACTCTTCTAAGTTAAATACCACCACTTTGTAACAATATTACACACTTATGAACGTGTAAAATTCATGGTTTAATCCACCATATGATTCCTTAAAAATCATACAAGATTAATACTAGTTAAGGAATAAAGGTGTGCTCTTACCTCCTCTTCTAGCCTTTCTCCTCTGGTTCTCCCTTTCTATGGCTTCCTTCAAGCTTGAGGATTGTGAGGGTCAACTCTAGAGCTCTCTCCCTCTCTTGTGGTTGGCTTGTGCGGATGAGGCAAGAGATAGGGGAGTAGTATCTCTATCCAATCACTCCCAAGAATAGTCCAAGACTATAACATGGGGTGTGTAGTTTTTGTCTCTAGGAGACTTCTCCACACTTGCACGCACCCACCCAGGTTGGGTTGTCTCCCTCCCTATTATTGAGTCTAGATGATGTGTAAAATACCCCAAGTGGGTGTAGGAAATCCTCCCCAATTATTCCTGCTATTTTTGGCAGGTTCGGCCAAAATAGCACTCGGGTTGTCCAAATATTTTTACCAACTTTTGTTCGCACTTTATTGGGCTTCTATAATTTATTATGATGACCCAACTAAATATTTGGTAGTCCATTCTCATATAATGGACCCGAAGAATAATTTAATTAATCTCACATTAATTAAATGTATCAATCAATCATACGAAATTTATTCGCTAGGAAGTTCAAATACATATCAACTTTCAAATTCGAGTACATACGGGCGCGGTGTCACAGCCTCGGCCAAGGGAGCTTTGAGAACTGATTCCTTGCTTATAAATGAGTGTTAAACAGCCTCCTCAAAGTGCTAGTTCAACCCCTAATCGTCGATACAAAAACAGCCCTTAGAATGGGTGTTTTCCGGTTAACTCGTTTCCTAGTTTTCCAAGATTTGCTCTAAGTTAGTATCTAACCTTTACATCAACAAAATAACTTTATAAGGACATATTATACACTTGGATTAGTGTACAATAGTTCCACCAAACGTTCATATCATTTGGAAAATGAAAGGAAAGGTTTTGGGGTTAACAACTCACTTTAGAAGTGTAGATCCGTTTCTGCGAGGTTGCGTTTTGCTCGGACGATTTGGAAGCCTTCCACTACTCTGATTGATGTAAACCAGACCTTCACGGATTCCTAGTCTTGAGATTTTTCTTTTGGTATCTTACTCGCCTTAATTGGATTGGTATAACTCGAGATAATAACCAAACAGCTTCAGCACTCTCACTGCTCGAGTTTACAGACAGCAGTTCACTCCAGCTCGGTTTTTGTGGGATAAACTATCCCTTCTCGAACATATACCACTCAAATAAGAAACTAGACTTCAAAGGCTATCCAAGGACACCTCATTCACCTTATTTGGTCGAGTATAACATCACTCATGGAGGGAGACAACCAGCACCATCCTTTTGTGCGAAAATAGGCTAGGTGGGGTTCCCTCTTGCTTCCTTTGTCAAGTTCAGCCCCTAAAGTCAGCTATGGCAGCCTCCTAACATTATTTTCATTGTCTTTCAGGTGGAAAGAAAGGATGGGGCGCAACATGTTGTTCCCCAATTATTTTTTGGGAGCAAAAATATTAACCAATACATCCAAAAATGGAAGAATGGGTCCTATTGTTTTATCTTTTGTCAAAGATGTCTTTTTGTACCCATCCAAATTTATTTAGAACAAGTCAACTTCCTACATCACATTATTGATCTCCAATATGTGTAGGCTCATCTCAACAATTTACTTGATGGACATTATAGAAGGAAAAATCCTACTCCCATTATTTAGCTCAATAATGTCAAAGATGGGATCATAGGCATTTGCATTCATCTCAAATCATCCTATCACTTATTTCGACATTTGTCATCCATATTATTGGACTCCTAGCCGTGTGGGTCACCCCCGAGTGGGCCTACGACGCCATTCTCGAATACTTGCTATTTTAGCGGGTTGAGCCCAAAATAATGTCTGGGCCGCCCGCCCTTCCTCAACTTGTCTAGAAAAGTTACGTAACATTATTTAAGTAATGTTGGGCTCCTATTTTATTAATAAGGCCCCCAATAAGTATTGCAAAACCCGACATTAATACACGAGTTTGAACAGTACAACACTCAAACATGCACTACGTAAAACATCAATTGTTTAAAATACATAGCTTTAAGTCTTAAATTGCATTCTTCAATAAGGACGTTCGGGTGCAGTGTCACACACCCACTCCTTGTGGTCCTCACCTCTCCAGTCCCCGGCTTTAAAGGCGTCAAGAACATCCTTTTTGGTGTGAGCAATGGCCTCCTGCTTCGCGCTCTGGCTTCTTCGGCAGCTTTCTAGGCGGCCTCGGCTGCGATCTTCTCAGCATCAGCCCTGCCCTCACCACCACCTTGGTGTTCTCAAGGATTTTGTGCATCGCCTCCTTTTTTAGCCGGAGGGCATCCTGAGCCTCTTGCAACTCCCTCCGGGCCTCAGCCAGCTCCTCGTCCTTTCTCTTCAAGGATTCATCGGCCTCCATCTTGGCCCTCCTCAATTGCTCCACCTTCTGAAGCTGCTCACCGAGGCCTAGGCAAGCCTGCAACCAAAAATTAAATATCGAGGATCAGGCCACCACGCAAAAAAGAAACTATGGCAAATGGACTAAAGGAAAAGGGAGCTTTGATACTTACGGTGACTGAGGCCTGGAGGATCTTAGAGTCGAGGGCAGCGTCCTCGTACCTGGAAAGCACGGACCTATCCGTCGAAGGGGTAACACCCCTTACAAGCTCCATGGCATCCAAGGTGCCATGCATAATGGCAGTCCCCTTCTTCAAGGAGAACTGCACATTCTGCCTCGGCCAGACGGGCTCATCAATATGAGCCGGAGGAGAGCGAGGGGTAGCCTCCACCATAGCCGGGGCCTCGGAGGAAGAGTGTTCCTCGATGACGACGACGGGGGCGTCTTTCCTCTTGCCGACGACCCCCTTTTTCTGTTTCTTCTCGGCCGACACCAACACTTTGCCTGCCGCCTTCCTCTTCAATACGGCAGCTTGAGAACCTCCGGGCTCGGCCCCGACACTTGTAACAGCATGGTTCGAGGGCTCTTCCTCCGCCGGGGATTGGTCAGCCCCCCCCCCCCCCCGGAAGAATTCATCGACGGGTTTTTGTGTTTCCGTCTCCTTCTTCTCTAGCTGAAGCAGTTGAATGAGATGAATCTATTGAATTATAAAAATACTTTGTGTTGTTTAAAATATACGGAGTATATTATTAATAAAATAAAGACAAAAATATGAAATTAAAGTCAAATGGTCCTCTACAGTAATTTCAATTAGAAAAATATCTTTAGTCTTATTTATTTTGATCGTTACACTATTTAAAGCGTGATTCAAAAATTTACTTCACTTGTTTGATGGAAAATTTGTATGATAAGTTGAAAATGCGGCATATCAAACGAGCTCTCAGAGGCCGTTTGACAACACTGTTTTTTGGCTTATCAGGCTTATCAGCCAACTTTTTCACCAAACACATAACTTTTGCTTTCGTGCGCTGAATTGTGTAATAAGCAGAAAAAGTAAGGTTGAAGTTACTTTTCTGGTTGTATTGGCCGAAGTTACGGTGGATGACCATTTTAGCTATTTTACATATAATTTTTTATTTATTTAATTTATAAAATATATTTTAAAAATAATTTTTTCTTGAATGAGCAGAATCAAGCAATGTAGCCACTTCAACCAGAACTTCATAAATTTCAGCAGAATCAGCCAAAACAGTCGATTTTCGTGTTACCAAATGGGCTCTTAATGTGTCTAACGGTCTTTATACGAGAATATGTATAATCCAAGTATCAATATGTTTTTTAGTGTGAAAGTTATGAACTTATTATCACCGCGAAAAAATGCGTTGTTTAAATTTAAAAGGTGAAAACAACTTAAATATCTTAAACTATGAGGGAATATGAGATAAGCTACCCAAATTTGCACATATAGACCTCATTTGGTAACACTGAAATTAGCTGAATTGACTGATTCTGCTGAAATTTATGAAGTTCTGGCTGAGGTGGCTGTATTGGCTGATTATGCTGATTTATGAAAAAATTATATTTAAAATATTAGTTATTAATAAATAAAATAAAAAATTATATGAAAAATGGCTAAAATGGTCCTCTACAGTAACTTCAGCCAATACAGCCAGAAAATTAATTCCAACCTTACCTTTTCTTATTACTCCGTATCAATTTAATTGACTCGTATGCTTTTTCACGTAGTTTAAGGCAAATATATGTAAAGTATGAGGTTTTTGGTACTGTAGCAGTACTGTAGCGGTACTGTAGCTGCTTTTTGGGTGAGTTTATTTCCAAAAAGGGAAATGAGACATTTATTTTGATACGTCCCAAAAGGGAAAGTGAGTCAAATAAATAGATACAGATGGAGTATTACACAATTCAGCGTTCGGTATAAAAAATTACTCCATCCGTCCCGTAATTAAGTTCCTACTTTCCTTTTTGGGATGATCCATATTAAAGTTCCTACTTCAAACCTTTCCTTATTTGGCAAATGATTTACACCAAAAAGTGCCAAACAATGTCAAACAGTGCTAAACAGTGTTCAAACAGTGCACTCCACAGTAAAGTCAAATTTATTTCTTAATATATGTGAAGTCAAACCAGGAACTTAATTAAGAACCGGAGGGAATACGTGTTTGGTGAAAAAGCTGGTTGATAAGCCTGATAAGCCGAAAAAAATAGCCACCAAACCGGCTCATAATTTATATACTCCAAACTTAATATTAAAAGTTATGTAAGCACCTTGATCATGTATTTTTTTCAAATGTAACTTGATGGTGTTAAATACGGAGTATAAAATTTAAAATACACAAAGGTTTAATGAGGATGTAATTGAAATTAAATTGTATCAGTGTAATATTACTTATTTCACAAATGAAATTTCAAAATGTTAACAACATTCTAACAAGGCTTAGAATATTTTAAATTAAATAATCATTGCAATATATTTGTATATGTAAAAAATATACAATCATGGTTCAAAAATAATTTTAATTTAAAGTTCGGGGTATATATATTTTATATGCAAATTTGAGCTACTTATTTTATACCTCATTAAAGTTTGGAATATTTTTTTTTTTTCCAATTTAAAAACACGAAATTAAAGTGAAAATTTCACATTCTTTCCATTACACACATTTTTTTTTTGAATCACATCATACACAACTATCTCTCTTTTTGAATAAGCGTTGAGCGATTGAATTTGAGCTACCAAGAATTTGAATAAAGAAAAAGGGATATTTTGAGTTTGCACCCCATTTTATTGTCTAAATTAGACTTTGCACCCCGTTTTTGAAATCTTTAGTATTTGCACCCCAACCCCGTATGAAAAGACTAAAATGCCCCTCCACTAACAATTTTGTTGGTCTTTAACATATTCCTGATTGAGGGACAATTTTGTCTTCTCATAAGGGGTTGGGGTGCAAATACTAATGATTTCAAAAACGGGGTGCAAAGTCTAATTTGACCAATAAAATGGGGTGCAAACTCAAATTATCCCAAAGAAAAACAGTGTTCACAACGCAATTATTTTTGGACGTGGGGTAGAAGAGAAAATACTGTAGAATATAGTTCGCTGCATTTACTAGCTAGCCCCTGTAGAATGTATGAAATGACGTATGAGACCCATCCTTATGTCTTTCCCTCTTTTAAATGCTTTGGTCAAATCACAGTTGTAACAAAATCTTCTGCAATGGGGTCTGCAACTTCTGCTCTGAGCTCAGCTGAGCCTATTATTAATTCCCTGCTCTCTGACATTTGGTTTCTTCCCGGTGCTCCATTTTTTTTTCAAAATTTTAAAAGTACAAAATTTCTCATTTTTTATCGTGCATTCAATTTAGGGACGTTTGGATGTGATTCTAAAAACTTATTAGCTCCTTCAAGGAGCATAAATAGAAATTGGAGTGTTTGGGTGAAATTTCAGAAGCATTTATGGTGCTCTAATTTACTCCCAGAACCAGTTTTAATAGAAACTGGGGGTACCGGCTTCTAAAAACTGATTCTGCTTCTGCTTTAAAAAAAGAAGCAGAAGCAGAATCAGTTCGAAACACCCCCTTAGATCTCATTTGCTAATATTCAAATCAATTATATTGACTCATTCGGTTGAAATTTATTAAATTCTGGCTAATGTGACTGCATTGGTTGATTCTGCTGATTTATTAAAAACAATAATTTAAAATACATTTTATTAATAAAATAAAGAAAAAGTTATATAAAAATAGCCTAAATGATCTTCTATAGTAATTCCATCCAATACAGCCACAAAAGTAACTTTAACCTTACTTTTTCTTATTATTACACAATTTAGCCCCTAAAACCAAAAGTTACTCCCTCCGTCCCTAATAACTTTGACAGGTTTGACCGGCACGGAGATTAATAAAGTAAAAAAATGTGTGATAGAGATTTGCGTAGAAGGGAGAGAATTAAATAGAACCACAAATTCTTTACTTAAAATGGAAAG